GAATTGCTAATTTACAAGAAAAATGTGTGAATTTGTCAAGTTTATCACTTACCAGCAAGACAATTAATTCATCTCGCATAAATAAACTTGTACTTAAAGTCTGTTTTTTTTTAATGGAAATGCCAAACAGTCTTAATGTTGGCATCACTAGTAAATTCATTCATGGTAATTTTAATAAAGGAAGTTGGCAGTTCCGGTTTTTTGAATTAATTTGAAAACAATGTCATTAAACGTCAACACAAAAAATCGTCAAAGAAAATTTTGAGACGAAACACCAAAAAAGAAACAAATTCGGTACACTAACTGTTTTTCGAAATTTGGAAACGAATAGTTCGCAAGCAGGAAGTTAGAKAAAGGGCCCGTTAAAATGTAGACGRAATTTGTAATGCAGGTTTGCTAAARATTCTRAATTTTWYCKAAYAAATTYACAAGAATACAAAATAAACATGAATGAGAAAGAACCTCGMAAAGAACGCAATTAAATTAGTGTCTTGTGCATCGTTTTTGAGGAACGAGTTGAAAAAGTAACAATTTTGAAACTAAAGCTGAAGAAGAATTTATAAAATGCATCAACTTTGAGCTCATTTCAATAAATTACACAAAATTTATTGCCAATCATCATAATACCTACTTGTATCTTTTGCTAAATAACTTTTTTCTGTATATACATCCTTTTTCTTCAAAGTTTTTGTAGCAAGAATCTCATTTRTGTCCACAACATTGTACTTACTTGCGGTGTGTTTCTGTCAAAATTATTAGCACTYAATTCTGTCTTTAGACCTTAGGTAATGATGTCTGTCCTCAGGTATTCAATTATAGCGCTTTCAAAGAGCAAACAGGCACACAAGTTTCATAAAAGTCAAAATTTTGACAACATCTCAATTGGAACACATAACCATAATTTTTTAACAAAATTTCTAGGGACAAAAACAAAGAGRAAACAAAATTTGTGGCTATGAAGACAAGCTGCCACCAATTTTTTCACCAAATTTTGACTTGGTAATTTCCATTTAAAAAAAAAAACAGACTTTTGTTTGTAGTTTCTGAACTTTGCGCTTAATAAAATTTCTTACAATTACTGCAAAATTCTCCAGATGTTGGAGAATGTCAGGAATTGCTAATTTACAAGAAAAATGTGTGAATTTGTCAAGTTTATCACTTAC